CATACTTTCCATGATCATCTTGAATCTCTGCGGATAAATCATTGTTTTCTATATTTTGTAATTCATCAGCATTATCCTGCTTCTGTGTAGGTGATTCATTCCTATCTTCTTCATAATCATCTTGTGTCTTTATGGATAAATCATTTCTTTCTGTGTTTTGCAACTGATCATCATTATCCTCCTTTTGTGTAACTGAGTTTTTCTCATGTTCTTCATGATAACCTTTTAGCTCTGTTGTTAAGTCACTGTTTTCTGTGTTTCGTAATTCAGCATCATTATTCTGCTTCTGTGTGGATGGTTCGTTACTATCCTCTCCATGAACTTCCTGTATTTTTGTAAGCAAAACATCCTTTTCTGTGTCTCGTGATCTGCTATAAGTATCCTGCTTTTGCCCTGTCAGTTCGTTGTTATCTTCTTCATGACCATCTTGTATCTCTGTGGATATATCACTGTTTTCCATCGCAATGATTTATTCACAAAGACACAAGAGAGTTATGAAGAAGATGGTAATGAATCATATACACAGAAGCAGGATAATGCTGATGAATTACAAAAGATAGAAAACAATGATTCATTCACAGAAATTCAAAGTGATCATGGAAAGTATAATAATGAACCTACCATAGAGAAGCAGGATAATAATGCTGATTTGCAAAACACAGAAAATAATGATTTAACCATGGAGGTAAAAGATGAGAATGAACCAACTACACAGAAGCAGGATAATGATGATAAATTGCAAAACACAGAAAAGAGTGATATATCCGCAGAGATACAAGATGGTCATGAAGAAGATAACAATGAACTGACAGGGCAAAAGCAGGATACTTATAGCAGATCACAAAACTCAGAAAAAGATGTTTTGCCTACAGAAATACAAGAAGTTCATGGAGAGGATAGTAACGAATCATCCACACAGAAGCAGGATAATGATGCTGAATTACGAAACACAGAAAACAGTGACTTAACAACAGAGCTAAAAGGTTATCATGAAGAACATGAGAAAGACTCAACTACACAGAAACAGGATAATGATGATAAGTTGCAAAACACAGAAAGAAATGATTTATCCATAAAGACACAAGATGATTATGAAGAATATAGGAATGAATCATCTACACAGAAGCAGGATAATGCTGATGAATTACAAAAAATAGAAAACAATAATTTATTCACAGAGATTCAAGATGATCATGGAAAGTATGATAATGAACCTACCATAGAGAAGCAGGATAATAATGCTGATTTGCAAAACACAGGAAAGAATGATTTAACCAAAGAGGTAAAAGATGAGAATGAATCAACTACACAGAAGCAGGATAATGATGATAAATTGCAGAACACAGAAAACAATGAGGTAAAAGATGAGAATGAACCAACTACACAGAAGCAGGATAATGATGATAAATTGCAAAATCAACTACACAGAAGCAGGATAATGATGATAAATTGCAGAACACGGAAAACACAGAAGCAGGATAATGATGATGAATTACAAAAGATAGAAAACAATGATTTATTCACAGAGATTCAATGTGATCTTGGAAAGTATGATAATGAATCTACCATAGAGAAGCAGGATAATAATGTTGATTTGCAAAACACAGAAAATAATGATTTAACCATAGAGGTAAAAGATGAGAATGAATCAACTACACAGAAGCAGGATAATGATAATAAATTGCAGAACACAGAAAACAATGAGGTAAAAGATGAGAATGAAGATTGTCTCATTCTCATCTTTCACCTCATTGTTTTTTGTGTTTTGCAAATCAACATTATTATCCTGCTTCTCTGTGGTAGGTTCATTGTCATGCTTTCCATGATCATCTTTAATCTCTGTGGATAAATCGTTGTTTTCTACCTTTTGTAATTCGTCAGCATTATCCTGCTTCTGTATACATGATTCATTCCCATCTTCTTCATAACCCTCTTGTGTCTTTGTGGATAAATCATTGTTTTCTGTGTTATGCAATTTATCATCATCATCTTGCTTCTGTGTAGTTGATTCATTCTCATCTTTTACCTCTATGCTTAAATCATGGTTTTCTGTATTTTGCAAATCACCATTATTATCATGCTTCTCTATAATAGGTTCATTATCATACTTTCCATCGTCACCTTGAATCTCTGTGAATAAATCATTGTTTTCTATCTTTTGTAATTCATTAGCATTATCCTGCTTCTGTGTAGATGATTCATTCCCATCTTCTTCATAACTCTCTTCTGTCTTTGTAGATAAGTCATTGCTTTCTATGTTCTGCAATTTATCATCATTATCCTGCTTCTGTGTAGTTGATTCATTCTCATCTTTCACCTCATTGTTTTCTGTGTTTTGCAAATCAACATTATTATCCTGCTTCTCTGTGGTAGGTTCATTGTCATACTTTCCATGATCATCTTGAATCTCTGTGATATAGAAAACAATGATTTCTTTTGTAATTCGTCAGCATTATCCTGCTTCTGTATAGATGATTGATTCCCATTTTCTTCATAACCCTCTTGTGTCTCTGTGGATAAATCATTGTTTTCTGTGTTCTGCAATTTATCATCATTATCCTGCTTCTCTATGGTAGATTCATTATCATACTTTCCATGATCACCTTGAATCTCTGCGGATAAATCATTGTTTTCTATCTCTTTTAATTCATCAGCATTATTCTGCTTCTGTATAGTTGATTCAATCCCATCTTCTTCAGAACCCTCTTGTGTCTTTGTGGATAAATCATTGTTTTCCGTGTTCTGCAATTTATCATCATTATCTTGCTTCTGTGTAGTTGATTCATTCTCATCTTTCACCTCATTGTTTTCTGTGTTTTGCAAATCAACATTATTATCCTGCTTCTCTGTGGTAGGATCATTGTCATACTTTCCATGATCATCTTGAATCTCTGTGGATAAATCATTGTTTTCTATCTTTTGTAATTCGTCAGCGTTATCCTGCTTCTGTATAGATGATTGATGCCCATCTTCTTCATAACCCTCTTGTGTCTCTGTGGATAAATCATTGTTTTCTATCTTTTGTAATTCGTCAGCGTTATCCTGCTTCTGTATAGATGATTGATGCCCATCTTCTTCATAACCCTCTTGTGTCTCTGTGGATAAATCATTGTTTTCTATCTTTTGTAATTCGTCAGCGTTATCCTGCTT